AAACATGCAGATAAAATAATTTGATCAACTTTTTTCTCAGTATCTTTCTTTTCCCTCTTCTTTCTTCCCCTTTGAAGGCATTCTGCAGGGATGACAGAGACATGAATTTGCATCTTGATAGAACAGTGCTTTTGGTACTCCTGTTAAAGTTTGAATGCTTTGGCAAACTTATGCTCTCTAAGAATATCTAAGAAGTACTAGAGTAACTTTCAAGTATTCTTCAGTCTATTTATAAGCACTAAAAAATAAACACATCTTTGACCCAGAAAAATGCCCCCTGCCCCCCTAAATATTCCGTTGCATTGTGTCTCCAATTTAACATTCACTCATCTATGATACTTTGCCTGATATTTTCTGGTATGAATAACTGAGAACATCTTGTACTCAGATCATCTTTAAAAATTTATACAATTTATATAAATAGTTCACGTTCTTCTTTTTTCTTTCTTTCTTTTTTTTTTTTTTGGTGTGCAGTGTTCCAATTTCATGGATGAGAGACTCTTCAATCCTAGATCTATCTTTTTTTTTTTCAGAAATATATCATGTAAGCTAACAAACTAATGGAAAAAAAAATATCACCTAGCTAGGATCTTATAATTACACACTAAAAGTTATTTAATTTGTTCCCTTTTTTAGCACCTTTGACTTCATGGATTTTTATGAATCTTATATTTGCTCTTCTCTTGATTTCACTAGAATCCAAAGGCAAAAGGAAACATCAGATTGAGGCCTGATTTAACATAGGTCTGTACTATTTTTCTGTGAGTTAAGAAGATCATGAAAACTCCATCAAAGCTTTAAACCAATGTTTATTTCTTTCAAACATTTAATTCAATGAAAAAATCTACTTTAAGTTAAAGGAAAGGTAAAAATATCATTTTGGTTGAATAAAGTTAACAAGTATCATTTTTAAAAAGACTCCCAGATACTTTATAAAAATTGAAAATTCTTTTTTTAATCTGTATAGCTATAGATTATCATGACCTTCACTTAATGTTCATAAGTCAACTAAACAACTCAGTATTTCAACAAAGTCAAAACAAGGCAAATCAGAAATCTGAAACCCAAAAGATAAACAAAGCATAACTCACCTCAGCCAGATTATCCTCAAGGATTTGACATGAAGGCTGTGGGTTGGAAATAGCACCTGCTATGTTTTCTCCCTGGTTAAAACTTCTGTTGTGTACCCAGTTGTCCCTTTTAAGTCTGACACAAGGACACCCTGGGACTGGCCTCCCACAGTGAGAGCAGGGTAAACAACCTCTCTGTTTTCACTGGGAATCTGCTACTAACCTCCTGAAGGCTCTTACTGATTCTGTGAGGACTGCAAAAGGCAAATACTTGGTTATTTCATTTTTTTTTCCTCTGAAACTACTTGCATTAAAAAAAAATGCCATGGGAAGAAATGGAATGTCTCAGTGAAAAGAATCTTAACATTGAAAACCCATCAAAATAGAGTAGGGCATACAATTATAGGTTTTAAAGAGTTCTGAAGATGTATCCATATTTCTTGGGGCCTGCTAACAAACAAGAAATTCAAACAATGCAGGTGGAGATGTGTTACTTAAAGGGTAACACTGCTGCCTTCTTGAAAGGCTCTCCTTAAGGGCTTTTTGAGGACACCATTAAAAATCCTGGCATTTAAATAGTAATCAGGTGAGATGATGGATACCTTAGTTAAATTGACTACAAAGACATTTCACTATGCTAAAGTATATTAAAGCATCATGTACTCCTTAATTAAACATGTACAACTAGAAAATAAGAGTGAAGCTAAGCTAGAAATACTTGTATTATTAAACCAATTGAAGAATTTAAAAACCATCCCTTAAAGACATTGACAAGCATTTGCTCTCACCGTCTACACATTCTAACCGTCACCTGAAGGAATCAAGCACTGGGCACTGAGAAATAATTCATAGCAACAATCACTGGGGCAGAATAAGATAGCTGAGTTGGTGATTCAGTATTGAAGACAATCAGCTCATAATTTTGTTACCAAGGTATCAGTGGTGGCACCTGTCAATTCTGATTTTAATTGCCCTCAACACTAACCATGGAATTATTTTTAACTGTACTGCAAAGTATACTTCCTTTCAGCCCTGTGATATTCTTTCCCTATATGAAAAGTAGACCTTATGTAGAGAGGAAACAAGGCAAATTTTAGTTTGTCTCTAGGCACCATCTGGGGGTATCATCAAATGTCACAATTAAAAATGGTTAATTTATTAAGTATCAGAATGTGCCAAGAGGGTAGTACTAGCAATAGAGTACCCTTGGGGTTTAAGTTGAACCCTTTCAACCAATAATTATTTTTTTTACTCTTCTACATTAAGAAAGGCCTGTAAGTAACTTGGTCACAATATAACTGAAATATAAAACTTCAAAAGTACTGAGGTGAAAGTCTGGAAAGGAGAGAAAGCCATACAGATACAAAAAAAAATGCATGAGGGATATAAACTTCCTAAACCAATATTTCAAAAGTAATTTCATTTACTAAGTAAGTTCATTTACTAAAATTACTCCTGAAAATTGTATTATCTGATTAGATCCTACTAATCTCATATACCTTTCTCACTAAAATGTGTGCATCGGAGACAAATTAAGGAGATTAAGCTATTTTCTGTAGGTGTACATTTGGACATACTTCAGGAATTTTTATCCTGCTATATGGAGTTCATTATATTCTTACCTTGGTGTTTTATCAGAAATTTCATTTTTGATTTCAGACACTTGAGATTCTAGCTTTTCAATTCTGAATTGCATCAACTTCATTAATGAAAACTCATTATTTTCATTCAACTCCTCTAAAATTTTTGAAGCTCTATTAAATGTCTAAAAAAATTGAAAGAACATATTTTAAAAATATTTTTATGGTATATGAACACAATGTCTTTATTTTAATTTTATGTGGTGCTGAGGATTGAACCCAGTGCCTCACACATGCTAGGCAAGTACTCTACCAACTGAGCTATATCCCCAGCCTGAAATGACATATTCTTAAAATAATTGTTACCCAAATAATCACTTTTATATTTTGTTCTTTAGTTTAGAATCAATAACTAAGAGAGAAATTTTAAATATGTGTATAAAAGATGCTGGGATTTTATCATCAAAGTCAATTGCATTTGTATATTCTTTGGGGTTGGAACCCAGGGCCTTGCAAAGGCTACACAAACTATCTTCCAATGACTAGGACTTCAACCATGAATCATTCTCATGTTAGTATCAGTAATGTGAAAACTAAAATGTTGTAAAATTATTTCATAATTGAAAAAAATTTTTCAACAATTCAAGAGTATGGTATACTTTGACTTCACATTTTTTGGTTCTTGCTAATTGTCTTATTAATACAACTATCCTTAAATTTTGAATGGTTCTCTGATAAAGTCATTTTTCTGAAAGATAAAGTCAGTTTTTACAATGATGAAAAATGAAATATTTAAAAATGCCATCTTACTCTGAAAATTCTACAAAAGAAGTTTCCTCAAGGAATATAGATGACCCACATAAAATGCAAATTTCCAAAATAAAATTTTCAGTGAAAAGAATTAAAGCACATTACAGATAAATAAAATAACCTCTGAAAATAGAGATGCTCGTTTTTGGTTTTCCTCTAAAATCTCTCTTGTTCTTTGTCTAATCTCACATCTATGAGGCTCTTCTTGACCATTTTTAATTTTATTGTCTTGCACATATACTTTGAGGTTTGCGAAATCTTCTTCCAACTACTTTTGGTTGTTCTGTGTTTTTTCACATGTATTTTGTAGGCTTTTAAAAGCAAGTTCAAATTGTCCATCCAACCGTAAATATTTTGAAAATGTAGCTTCTAGGTTTGTATTGAGATTATTGGCCTGCATGAATAAAACAACAGTGTTTCATAATAAAAGAAGCATGTTGAGAATATTTGAGCACAAATTTGTCCAACAAATCCTAGTAAGATTGCCTTTTCAAAGATCTACTGGAAAACCTACGAAAGTTCTTCACTCTCTGCTTTGGATAGAGGTACCAGACATGATTGAAACATTTGTATGGTTTTATAATCTGTTTAAATTAAACAAAAACTGACTTGTCCCATTATTTTAAAATTAACCTGAAATTTAAGGAAAGCATAATAGCCTTTCTGTGCAAGAAATCCATTTAACAATTACACATAGCTTCTGTATCCAATCATAGAAATGAAGGCATGAAATAATTCAATTCCCTGGAACATTCCATGGAATGGTATTCTCTGATTTAATCGGCCTTGCTACACCATGGCAATGGAGGTAGCACTAAAAAAAAAAAATTTAGTTAACAAAAAAAAAAAAAAATCTCTCAACACATGTGAGGATACATGTACAATTCTCAGGATTCCGGAGGATAATTAAGTAGTTTATTTTTTTAATTTTTATTTATTTATTTAGTTAGTTTTTTCTTAACCACTGATTGATCCCAGGAGTGCTTAACCACTGAGCTATATCCCCACTTCTTTTTGAGACAGGGATTTGCTAAGTTGCTGAGATTGGCCTTAAACTTGTGATCTTCCTGCCTTAGTCTTCCAAGTCACTGGATTGCAAGTGAGAAATAATGCATGATATTATAAAAAATGTAAAAATGAAATTCAGAATTTATAAACAAATCCACTATAAAGATAATTAAAATGTAATAAAATTAATTATAATAAAAATCCAAAGAACTCTGTCCACTGACATTTTTGTCCTAAAACATTTAACATTATTTAAGCAGGTGCAGATCAATGGTTGACAAATACAATTTAGTACATACTTCCCCTGTGATTTGATCTAGTTTCTCCTTCAAACCCTGTACCTCATCTTCTACTTCAAGGTAATTACTTGATGAGTATTCTAGAGAATCCTCTGACATAGATTGCTCTGTCAGGTTATCAGTAAGTTCTTGTGGAAGTTGTCTCACATCTACCTGAGGAGATATGTCTGTTAAATATTTTGTAAATCATATTTTAATAGTGGTCCCAGAAGTTTGTGGAAGATATAGGCATTTGGTATAAGCACATGCCTACAATGATTGCATAGTGAATGCCAACAACACATTTCTCACATCATGTCCCCATCATTATGTGAAACATGACCACACATATTATGTTAAGGGGATATTATAAATAATGTAAGAAATTTGATGCCATACTGAAGACTACTTTACCTGATTTGAGTTACTTCTTGCAGTCTTTAATTCTGCCTTCAATGTCCCATAAGACAGTTGAAATTCTTTGTTCAATTCAATTTGTTTATTATGTTTCTCATCTTTTTCTCTTAACTGGTTATTCATTTTTTCCAAAAGCTGATCAAAATCTCTTAACTTCTTCTCTTTTTCTTTTAAATCATGCCTGCAGTTAAATATGGTTATCTTAAAATGCTTTTAATCAGAAAACAAATGGTACATTTTGTGTTCTTGTTCTTCATACGTTAATTCATTAGGCTAATAAAAATTCTATGTTCTATGATTTTTTTTCTTTCTAGTTCTCACCTCTTTAAATTTCTCCTTCAATCTTTTTGGAAACATATAAACATGAAAGTTAATAATGAAATATTTTTCTGTCAGTTGGGAAAAGGCTGTTACTAGTAACTTCAGTAGATATTATGGAAAGGGACTCTTGAAATGTATCCAGAAATTGAGTGTTTGAAATAATTTGGGGAGGGGAATCCTCAGAGTGCTTGCCTGCTGGGGCCCCTGTGTTCCATCCCAAACATTGCCAAAACAGAAAAAAACAAAGATCGTTTTTGCATTGTTATAATTCTTCCTTAGTTAAGAGAGTTTTAAACACTAATTGTTTATAAACAAGTTTATAAATTCATTAGTATTTAGCTTTTATATTCATGAATAAAATAGCAACTACTGCAATTGATTGCCATTGTAACATACCACCTTCAGAAGTTGTTCAGACAGCATATGTCTGCACATTAACATAACTGAAGACCAGGCTAAGAGGTCCAATTCCCATTGTTCCACCTTTTAATGTTTCTTTTAGGTAACACTTTCAATTTCGCTTGTTTACCATTATGTATTTTATAAAGAACTTACAATCCCCTTTGGAACAAGGCATAACCTAATATTTATTCCAATCACAAAGAATACATGTCCTTTCAACACAGAAATTTAAACAAATTTTATTACAAATGAGGGAGAAATTTAAAAAATATTACTTTCCATTTCACATTTTGTTTAATAGATGTTAGGATTCCATCCATAGCCCAGGGTGTAATTCAGCAGAAGCATACTCATTTAGTTGTGCCAACCCTTGGGGTTGATCCCAAGCACCAGAAAAAAAAAAGAAAAAAAATTGCATAAATATTTAAAAACACATTTTGGGGTGCACAAAATGAGTTTTTCATAAGGCAAACCCCAAAAAACAAAGGCCAAATGTTTTCTCTGATAAGTGGATGTTATTCCATAATGGGGAATGGGTGTGTGAGGAAGAATGAAGGAACTTTAGATTGTGTAGAGGGGAGTGAGGAGAGGGGAGGGTTTGCAAGGATGGGAATAACGGTGGAATCAGATGGACATTCTTACTCCATATACATGTATGATTACATTACTGGTATGGCACGTTCAGCCATAGGAAGAACTTGTCTCCATTTGTGTACAATGTCTCAAAATGCATTCTACTGTCATGTGTAACTAATTAGAACAAATTTTTTAAAAAATGGCCATTTCATTCTCTTTGGTGAAAATATAAATTACTATAAACTGTCCCGAGAGCAATTTAGAAATATTGATCAAATATCTGTTCATGAAGTTACTATTCTTTACCAAAATAATTCTATATTGAAAAATGTATTATAACTAAAAAAAATAAACATTAATTTCTATGAAATTAGGTCATATTCAGGAAATAGATGGAAACTGAGACAATTTTTATGCATATTAAGTCAAATTTGTAAGTTTAAGTTTCATATGTTTTCTCTCCGATGTGGAAACTAGAAAGGCAAAGTAAAAGAAAGGCATGGGGTGGTCTCAGGGAGATCAAAAGAGCTCATTGAAGTAGAAGGAGAAGGGGGGAAAGGAAAAAGGTAGGGAATAATATAGACCAAATTATATAGTCACATAGTGTGTAAACATGAATATGTAACAAAAATCCCACCATTTAAACAAGTGTAATGACTCAATAAAAATATGGAAATAATAACTTTTGTAAATGAGGTTCAGTGAAACATTGATTGTAATACAAAAAGTAAAAATATGAATGAAAAACAATCCCCAATTCTGCTTTTTAAATCAATAGTGAGATTCCTTTTATAGTGAGATTTCTATATAGCCATTGATATTATGATTGGAAATAACATGAATTTGGTTATTAGAAGTAATCATAGTTAGCAATATGTCACCTTTTTGTAAGGATTTCAGACTCTACAAGTATAAGTAGTTTTCTCCCTTGAAAAAATGCCAGCAGGTAAGTCAGCAATTACAAAAATTCCCTATGTATATTAATGTGAAGGAAAAGAGTCCAAACTTTCTTTCAATCGAGGGTATCATACCTCAAGTGGCAGAGTTCTTGTTTCCATTTTATTTCTCTCTGCTCTAACTTAGATTTCATATTTTCCATTTCTGATAATTTCTCTTTCATTCCACAAAGTTTATTTTCTCCTTTTTCCACTTCTTGTATATGTAATAAACACTGTGAACAGTGACTTTTGTCAAGTTCTATTATTCTTTGACATGAATCAAATGCTTTTTGGATTTTTGGTAGGCTATGAGGATCTGCATCATAGAGAAAACAAGACAGAAATAATATATTTGAGTATTTTCATCTGAGAGGGATTCTACATCTCCCCATGTACTCCCTCATACACTGAACAAATGTGTAAAGAGTACCTATGACATGGAAGCCATTATAATAAGTTCTACAAATAAACCAGCTGAGAACCCTGCTCTCCTTTAGCTTCAAGTCTAGTGGAGAAGACTTACAGTAGAGAATTCAGCCTAGACAGATGATCTAACAAAGCATAAAAACAAGACCATCAAGGGCCAAGCTGTTTATATGTAACCTAACTGAATTCCAAAATATAATGAAAAAGCAGAAGAGGCCTGAAAGATATTTTTCAAAACAAATTGCACTTTTAGGAGGCAAACTGAAAGTAACCAAAGAGCATGGTGACCTTTGCATAATACAGGTTTGAACTCTGTGAATTAACAAATAGAAGAGCAATCAACTACTGGAAACCAAGACAAAATACAATGTAGCCAAGAAAAAGGCAGAAACTAGCAAACATCTTTCTATAACTCTTGATGTAAATGTTCTAAACTCTCCAAATAAAAGACACATATTGGTAGAATGGATTTGAAAACAAGATCCAACTAGATGCTGTTTGAAAGAAACTCATCTCATATGTGAAGCCACTGTATTAGTCAGCTTTTTCCCTGCTCTGACTAAATGACCTAACTAGCACAACTGTAGAAGAGGAAAGTTTTATTTGAGGGCTTACATTTTTTGAAATCTTAGACCATAGAAGGACAGATCCATTGGTAGGGGATTGAGGCAAGGCTGAGTATCAAGGTGGGAGAATGTGTTGAAAGGAAACAGCTCAAGTTATGATCAGGAAGCAGAAAGAGTCCACTTGCTGCCTACTAATATATACTGAAAGCCACTCCTCAATTCTCAAGTCCTCCAGCCCCACCCTATCAGCTTTCAGTTACCAAATACTTAATCCCAATCAGGAGATTCAATCATGGACTGTGTTAACACTCTTACAACTCAATCACTTCTCCTCTGAACCTTCTTGAACTGTATCACAAACGAGCTTGTGGGGGACACCTCACATCCGAACCATGACAAACACTCATAGACTGAAAGTAAACTCCTGGAAAATGTTTCCATTCTTAAATTCCAAAATTTAAGCAGATCTGAAGCAAAACTCACAAAAGACAAGGAATGCTACTTTATACTAGTAAAATTTCAATTCAACAAGAAAATATATCAATAGAAATTATGTATGCCTCAAATTATAGTGACTCTAATTACATAAAAAGAATGCTTCTTTAAATCACAATAGCTCAACTCTGGTACCAACCTAGATGTACTTCAATAGATAAGTGTATATGCACACAATAGAATATTAGTCAGCATTAAAAGAGAATAAAATTATGGCATTTTCAGGGAGATGAATGGAGTTGGAGAATATCATGCTAAGCAATGTAAGCAAAAAAACAAACCCAAAGACTGAATGTTCTCTCAGATAAATGGATGCTAATCCTTAATTGGGGGAGGGACATGGCAAAAGTGGAGGATCTTTGGGTAAACAAGAGGGTCGGAAGGTGAGGGGGCATGGGGACAGGAAAGATGGTAGAATGAGATGGACATCATCACCCTGGGGACATGTATGACTGCACATATAGTGCGATACTACATCATGTATAACCAGAGAAATGAAAACTCATGCTGCAATTGTGTACAATGAATTAAATATATTCTGCTGTCATATATACCTAAATAAACAAATAAATACATAAATAAACTAATAATGTTTCTTGACATTAAATATCAGATAGACCCCAAATAATTAGGGAATTTAAAAATATCCTTGTCACCAATAGACAGAATATGCAATTGTAAAAATAGACATTTTGACCTAAATAATATTATCATTCAAATGTAACTAATAGCTACAGGATATTTCACCACAAAATAGCTGAATTCAGTATCTTCCTAACAATGCATGGAACCTTTTTCAAAATAAACCATATTCTAGGTCACAATGTAAGTCATTGAAAAAAAAATAAACTTAATATAATTATACACATTCTATCAGATCATAATGAAATGGAACTAAAAGTCAATAGCAAGGAAAATAAGAGGAATCACATAAACAGAACAAAATAAAAAAAAATACTCTTTTAAAAGAGGAGTGGAGTATTAAAGAAATGAGAGAATAAACAAAGAAATATTTGCAAAAAATCAGAACAGAATTACAACATATCAAAATCTTTGGGACATCATGAAGTCGGTTTTGGGAAGAAAATTCATGATACTGAACGACTTCACTAACAAAATAGAAAGTTTCCAAATAAATAAAATAATGTTCCAACTTTCAAGGCCTTAGAAAAGGAAGAACAAACTAATTCCCAAATAAGTAAATAATCAAGATTAGAGATGAAATTAGTTAAGAAGGAAAAAAAGGCATAGGATCAAAGAGACGAAGGCAGCTTTTTCAAAAGATAAATAATGTCAATAAACCCTTAGTCAAACTAACAGAAAAGGACACAACTCAACAAAATTGTGGATGAAAATGAGATACCATTAGCAATATTTCTAAAATCCAGAAGATCATTAGGAACTACTTTCAAAGTTTGTACTGTAATAAACTGGAAGATCTGGAAACCTTGACAAATTTCTAGGCACATATGAGCTGCCAAAATTGCACCAGGAATATATCCAAATGAAAACAAACCAATATCAAGTAATGAAACTGAAACAGCAAAGAACAGTCTTTCAACAAAGAAAAGCCAGGACCAGATGAAATCCCGGCTGAGTTCTAGCAGACTTTTAATGAAGAACAAACAAATCTTTGTCAAATTCTTCCACAAAACTTAGAGGAAAGAAATATTCCCAAATACATTCTATGGAACCAGTATAATCCTGACATATTCAATAAAGAAAACTACAGAACAATATCCCTGATGAACATACATGTAAAAATCTTTAATGAAATATTAGCAAATAGCATTCAAAAACACATAAAGAAGTTAACATACCATGAAAAAGTTGTTTTACTCCCAGCAATGCAAGGTTGGTTCAACATAGGCAAATGTAATTCACTACATAAATAGAATTAAGGACAAGAATCATATGATCATCTCAACAGATGCAGAAAAAGCTTTGATAAAAATGTAGCACCCATTCATATTAAAAATGATAAAGAAACTAGGCATGGAGGAAACTTACAGTATAAAGTCTATATATCACAAAGCCAAAACCAACATTATGATGCAGAAAAAATGGAAAACATTTTCTCTAAAATTAGGAGCAAAGAAAAGGTATCTAATTTTATCAATCATATTCAATGTATGTTTTGAAACTCAAGGCAGAACCATTAGGCAAGAGAAGAACATTACAGGTCTATTAATAGGAAAACAAGAATTCAAATTATCTTTTTGCTATTGACATCATCCTATCCTAGAAAACCCAAAAAAACTCCACCAGAGGACTTATTCACTGATAAGAAATTCAGCAAAACAGCTGGTAATAAGATCAACAATCATTAATCAACAGCTTTTCTGTACATGAAAAATACTTCTGCTAAGACAAAAAATGAGGAAATCTATCCAATTAAAATTAAGAAAAATTTTAAAAATTAAAAAAATTAAAATTCCTGGGAATTGTCTTATTTAGGTTTTCTCACTGTGACACAAAGATCTGATGTGAAAAATGTAGAGAAGGGAAAATGTATTTGGGGCTCAAGGTTTCAGAAGTCATAGTCCATACACAGCTGACTCCACAGCTCAGGGCCCAAGGTGAGGCAGAACATCATAGAAGAAAGACTTGGCAAAGGAAAGAAGTTCATAACAGGCTACCTACTAGAAAACGGTTAGAGCTTCACTCAACAGGTAGCCCCCAAGTGACCTACCTCCTCAATGCACACCCTACTTGACTATGATTACCATCCAACTAATCCATGTTGATTAGCATGGAAAATGGTAGAAATACATTGAAAAATATGTTGGCAATATCTTATTAAGGGCATATAAAGGAACATGAGAAGACTTTTACAGGATTTCTTAACTATCTTGATTATGGCTAGTCAACATGTGTTTAATACGTAGGTCAAAACTTGTCAAATTGCACATTTTTATATGTGCAGCTTATGTATGTCAATAATATCTCATTAAATCTTCTGAAAACAAAAAGCTGTATTGTAAGAAGAAACACCTTAGTGATTGGGATCCAGACACAGGAGAAAGCTAGAGGGTTAACAAGTAATACTTGGGTTTTAAGGAAGGGGTAAGCAATATCAGAACTGAATTTTTAAAGTATATGATTTTGTTGCAGAAAAAAACACAGTTTGAGGAGGTGGGTAGCAGGGAAAGGAGGTCTAAAGTTACTACAGAATTCATGTAGAGATAATGGCAAGCTGATATGATCATCCTCCAGGCATAAGGGAGCAACAGAGCCAACAAAAGGAGTAGGGTGCCATTCACAAAGAAAAGTGCATTGGAGATTATCCAGGTGTTTACTTAAGTGTGTATCACACTTCTCATTATATTTTAATGCAAAGCACCTTTCTGAAATGAACAGTACTCTAACACATCAGTGTTCTATGGTTCAGTGCTAAGTAATGTGTATATCTATTACTGTAGTGTACATCATTATGCAAAGGTCCTACCTTCATGTGAAGTGCTTGGTTTTTCAATGTATGCCCAAATATCCTTATAATTAGGGCAAGTCATTTGAAAGGCCATTGAGGCTATTAAAGTTGGCTCTGATTCATCAAGGTCTTCCATTTTTTGACCTATAAAACAATAAAATCCAATATCAAAATGTACCCCAAATACATATAACATAGACTCAATTCATACAGGTTACAATTATCCACCATGGTATATAAGCAAAAGCACAGGTAGTTTTTCAAAGAAGTAATTTCTGCAAAAAAAAAAAAATCTTTATCAATGGTTATTTTGTCTTACTAATTTTCAAATTAAAAAGCTTTTTTTTGTACATAGCAAAAAAATTATCCATTCTTTCACTTTACCTTCTACAATATATTTTTGTTTGTATCACTTTGACTTTCATAATGTATTTTATCAATAAATATTATCTTGTATTATTTGTAACAATACCTTGCTCTTTAAATTAGATGTTTTCTCAATGTGCCTAATAGAGAAAAAGAAAGAAACACATAATATTCTTTCAGGCAAATACTAAGTATATAAAATGCAACAAGACTATTATCTTTTATATATAAAATCTGCATATTTTTAATTTATTTCTTGTAACCATAAAATTTATGTCCATGTTCCACAATAGAGATTCAAGTGTAAACAAAAAGAATAATATTAAGAAATCAAGAACAATACTACTAATAGTCTCAAAACAAAGAATTAAATTTAGATCATGCCTTCTTACAGTGAAAACAAAATGAATAATGGCACTTGCATTATTTGATAGAAATGATTTTGTTTTTGTCATTTTCCAAAAAATAAAATTCATACAAGTTACTAAACCCCATTTGTAAAAGAGTAATTAAATCTTTATGGGAGGGAAAACCTGTTGCAATAATTATAGTGTTCTTTTTCAGGACCTACAATGAAACGACTATACACAATTCTAAGCAATGTACATATGCCAAAGTCATAGGGACTTATTTTCAATTTCACCGATTTCCACTCAGACCTTATGTCTTATCTTCTACCTTCTACTGGTGTTGACCTGATGTTTTCTTTCAGAAGTTACATAGGTTTTGTTCTGATTCCTAGGTCTCTGATCCACTATTGAGTTGATCTGGGGGAGAGGCTGTGAAATAAGTTACTAGTCACATTCTTCTACTCTTGAAGAAACAGTTTTCACAGTACCTTTTGATAAAAAGGCTATGTTTCCTCTATTATGTTTTTGGCACCTGTGTCAAGGATTGGATGCCTGCATGGGTGTGGGTTTGTCTCTGTCTTCTCCTCTGTACCATTTATCTATGTGTCTTTGTTATGTCAGTACCATCATTTTTTGTTAACTATAGCTCTGTAGTATAATTTGAAGTCAGGTATTGTGATGCCTCCAGCATTGCTTTTTTAACTTGGAATTTCTTTGACTATTTTGAGTCCTTTTTTCTTCCAAATGAATTTAAAACTTTTTTATAGTTCTGTGCAAAACAGGATTAGTGTTTTGTTGGGAATTGCATTAAATTGTATTGAACTTTTGATCCTGTGGCTACCATAGCAATCAATTTCTTTCTTCACTATTGAATAGTTTTCATTCATCTTAGGATACTAAAGGACTATTCTGAAAGACATTTCATTTGGATTAATCTAAATTGTTGAAGCAAAGAAAATAGCATGAAAAATGGGTGTGAAATATACATGATTGAATACATGTGGCTGATTATTTTCAGAGTAATCAAGCACTTTTTTCTTTTCTTCTTTTTTCACTTTTAAAGATGATTCTGCCAAAAATGTATATGTCTATTTACACTACTTTAAACAGAAGAACAATCAGAGTAAAAAGAAAATGCCTAGTACTAATAATAACAGTAACATTTATTTTATGAATTAGAAATTGAATTTAAACATTACTTGCATAGTTATTATTTATAATATGGTACTTTGTACTAAAACCAATGCCTTGTGCATACTTTTTTCAGGCAGATTTATTTTAGTATTATTATATAATCATATGCGCTATATCTTATTCTAATTAGGATGTCAATTTGTGGATGTATACAATGGTGAGATTCACCATGGTGTTTTCACATATATACCCAGGAAAACTATGTCACATTCATTCCACTGCATTCTTAGGACACTCTCAACTGCTGAGATTCATGTGCTTTAGTCTTTTTTATTTTATTTGGCGATGGGGTCTCTCTGAGGTGCCCAAAATAGCCTAAAACCAGCCATTCCCATGGCCTCAGCCACCTGAACACTTGAGCCTATACAGATGTGCTCTGCTGAGCCAGTGAGACTTGACTTCCTTAGAAGATATTTCTACTGACCCCAAACTTCAACTAACCCTGAGGGAGAATTGGATATTGTGAGCTTCAGTGCAACAAATACCCCCAAAATTTCATCTACAAATTCACCCACTAAACATAAAATGACGAATCCTCAGAAACAAAACTTTTCAGTGCCATAGAAACATACAAATTCACACTCTACATTATTCTCTACTTCCTAATAGTAAGTTTTAATCAAGCCCTGTGCATCTTTAATGGTTTCCAAAGTGACTGGTACTTTTTACTCCTTTACAATGAACACTCTGTCCCTTTTGTTTGTCCACATTTCTAACAAATTTCTTTTCTACTTTATAAAGATGTGGTGTTCTCTGAATTGGTCCTTAATTTGGGCTGTTGTTCTCTCAATAAAAAGGAGCTTCTTTCCTAAGGGCGAGCTTCTTTCCTAAGGGCAAACTTCAGCATTTGTCTACACCTTTATGGCTTAAACTGTAAATTATTTCTCTACATGTAAATTTCTTTTACTTGTGAACAGGATAAAATCTTTTCAGTCACCTTTGTGTACTCAGCCTTTATTTCTTTGACTCCTTAATTATATTTCGAGTCCTTGGTAAGTGCTAATGTAGATAAATGGAATGGGGAGATGATTTTGCTTGAAGTAGTCCTAAGCTGAGAGTTAAAATATGAGCATACTATCCAGAGAGATATTAAGAATGAGAGCATGAAAGCAATTACAAGAGAGGGTGGCAAGTCTTAAATAGGGTCTATGTTTTTCTAAAATATTGGGACAGTGAGTAGGAATGGCAGAAGACAGTAAAAAAATGTAGAAAAGGTTAAAAATCATTGAACAGAACTCATTCAATCAATGCTTTCTAGGTAAGTTTAAGGTGCTTTGACATGAATACTCTCAAGAGTATTATAGAGTATATAATAGACAAGGTAAACAAATAAATGCACAAAATAATAGAGGGAGGGGGGAAGGAGACCTAGGAACAGGGGAAGAAAGTCAAAAGGGAAAAGTAAAGTACAGGGACACGAACTAGAGCAAAAAAATATGCCGTAATTTCATAATTGTGTCTAAATGAATCACAAGTTCATGAAAAAATAAAAACAGCCAATAAAATTTTTAAAATGATAGAAGACTGATGGTGAATCTTAGTGGCAAAGCAGCTATTTAGTTTGCAAAATAAATGGTATCAATCTCCACCATAGAAATCAAAAATCAAAACAAAGAAGTAATTACAAAAATGAGTGGAAAAACATTAGTGGTACACATAAGTAACTTTGAATTTATCACTCATGGTCACTACTCAATGACATAAATGATTGTTCTCTACAAAATACAATATAATTTTAAAGGTCTGAGAAAATTAAATATATATATACAATATGTTATTTGATTTTCTAAATGCAGTCCTGATCACATAAGTGTTATGAGCATCACATAAAGTGTGACACAATATACAACACCCCAGTGCAATTACTCAATAGGCTGGATGTTATAATTGAAATAAAATCAGTTATTTAAAGAGATAAGTTTTCCTGCTTCTCTCATGAGAAGCTGGG